CATGCTAAGTGTGTCTTTGGCGTACGTGTGTGTCGGAATCTATGTTGGATTACCCGGATGTGACGAGGAGGAGAAAGTGGATTCTAACATGGAAGCCTGGCCATAAAATCATTGAGAATTTTTATTAAATATATTCAATAGAGGTTTATCGAGATTTTGCGAAGAAGGCTTATAAAACGACTCGCCTATCTTTCTGTGAGCACGCATTTATATAACTGTGAAATCAAATAACACCCTTAACCACTTTCAGTTGCATATTATTTCCATTATACGGACTGTTATCTTCATCTTCACCGCCATATTCTTCAGGTGATCGGAATTTCGAACCGAACCCTTTATTTCGTACGCATCGGGTACATTGTTCTAGTTGCACGTGCCATGCCTCTTCCGGGTGTCTCAGTTGTCTCCCTTCCGCTCAACTGTCCAAGTTATTACTTCTTGCTTTCCTCTCAACTTTGACTTTAAAAATTTAAATGCAATGTCAATCGTTATCTACTGTCTTCCTGATTACTCTTCTATTGTACTCGCTCAATTTTCGCTTCTGGAACTCTCTTCCGGCTTCTTGCTTTCCAGTCAACTTTGATCTTCAAAAATTTAAATGCAATGTCAATCGTTATCTACTGTCTTTCTGATTACTCTTCTATTGTACTCGCTCAATTTTCGCTTGTGGAACTCTCTTCCGGCTTCTTGCTTTCCAGTCAATTTTGATCTTCAAAACATTAAATGCAATGTCAATCGCTATCTACTGTCTTCTTACTTCTTATTCTTTTATTGTCCTTTCTCCTTAATAGTAGTAACACTCAGTAACTTCTCGCGCAAAAACACGTCATAAAGATATGCATCCATTCCTTCCGCCTCGCCTGCTGTAAGTTGTTGTTGTAGAATAGCTGAATACCCTCACTGGTCTAAGCCTATTTAAACAACTCTCTCTCTCTCTCTCTCTCTCTCTCTCTGAGGAGGAGGAGGAGGAGGAGTAAACGATTAATCGTTATTCTACTCGACGTCTATCTGCTTTCGGGTGAAGAGGAAACCATGCCGAAGGACAAATTCTCCTCTAGGGAGGTAGACAGCCACCCGACCTTATGTATGCGGGGTCTACAGGGAATTTTTGTCCGAGTGTACTTGCTCGGAAAGCCCCACGTTAAAAAGCGGCCTTGTGCCACATCCCACCTTGTGGAAAGATCTCGAATAAATACCGAAGATTTACTGATTAACACTTAGAGCTTGTCAACCTCTCTGCATCCGGGCAGTGAAGAACCCAAACGAGGCTATGCCGAAGGGCAGATTCTCGCCTGGAGTGAAAAGACAGCAACCCGATCCCGTGTAAATTTTTATTTCATTAGTCTGTGTTCGCAACTGTGTACTATATTCTCCGGAACAAACTTTCTATATGTGTATCAACCTTTCATATTTACGACACGACAATTGTGTAACCGGCTGGACTGGGTTCTATGGCCTTGGTTGGCAACTAGTCTACCTCAGGGAGACATAGCAACCTACTGAAAAAATATTCTGCTTAGTCATGAATCGAAAGAGATATTATCCCTTGTATCACGTATGGATCTTAACTGACTGACTTTTTAAAAAATGTCAATATGTTTTTGCGTGTTGTTACTTAAGACATTCTGTGTGAATTTATAGTCGTTGAGCCTTTCGGTCGCTGAATCGATATGAGACAAATATATAAAATATGGCCATCAATCGATTAATAAGGATATTGAATAAAATTCTACGATAATGTTGTGGACACAACTTAGAAAAGAAATTTGGCAAATATAACAAATCGAATCAGAGATAATGGGCGGGTAATTTCCACTGCATTCTTTGTCTGTGGAGTGGGGGGAAGCGTGTTTTTGTGAACCTTGATTAGGGATATTATGTAATTATTATGCTGGGGAAGATGAATACTTGGAAGAAATCAAGAAACAGAAACAAATGAACTGTGAAAGAAAGAAAGAAAGAAAGAAAGAAAGAAAGAAAGAAAGAAAGAATTGAAAACTAGCAGGATTTTCAGAATAATCGAAGGAAATAAAGAAAGAAATAAAGAAAGAAAGAAAGAAAGAAAGAAAGAAAGGAAAAATAGTAGAAATTTAAGAAAGTTCGAAGAAAAAACGAAAGAAAGAAAAACAACAGTAATCAAATTTCGAGAAAGAAAGAAAGAAAAAAGAAAAGCAACAGGAATTAAATTTCCAGAAAGAAAGAAAGAAAGAAAGAAATAAAGTAAGAAAGAAAGAAAGAAAGAAATAAAGAAATAAAAAAGAAAGAAAGAAAGAAAGAAAGAAAGAAATAAAGAAAGAAAGAAAGAAAGAAAGAAAAATAGTGGGATTTTAATAAAGATCGAAGAAAATAAAGAAAGAAAGAAAGAAAGAAAGACAACAGTAATCAAATTTCGAGAAAGATAGAAAGAAAAACAAAAGCAACAGGAATTAAATTTCAAGAAAGAAAGAAAGAAAGAAAGAAAAAAGAAAGAAAGAAAGAAAGAAAGAAAAATAGTGGGATTTCAAGAAAGAAAGAAGAAGTAAATTAAAGACGGAAATATAAAAAAAAACATAGAAAGGGAAAAGAAAGAAAGAAAGAAATAAAGATAGAAAAATATTCGGATTTTAAGAAAGGGAGAATAAAAATAAGAAAGAAAGAAAGAAAGAAAGAAAGAAAGAAAGAAAGAAAGAAAGAAAGAAAGAAAAACAAAAAAGGTAAGAGAGAGAGAGACAAAACGAACGAAAGAAGGAAAGAAAGAAAAAAGAAAGGGAAATAATGGGATCTTAAGAGAGAGGGAAAGAAATGAAAATAAGAAAGAAACAACGAACGATAGCCGAAAAGAAAGGAGTAATTAGATTTTAAGAAAGGACGGTAATTTGTGAAAGAAAGAAAAAAAGAAAGAAAGGAAAAGAAAGAATGAAGCAAACAAACAAAGAAAAAGTAATTAAGTTTTAGAAAGAAGAAAATTACAGACGGAAAAAATAAAAAAAACATAATTGTATTTTAGAATGAATAGGAAAAAGAAAGAAAAAAAAAGAAAGAAAAATATATGAATTCTAAGAAAGTAGGAAGAAAATAAGGAAGAAAAATAGAATGAAGAAAGAAAGAAAGAAAGAAAAAAAAGAAAGAAAGAAAGACAGAAATCAAACGAGAAAAAGAGAAAAACGAACGAAAGAAAGAAAGAAAAAGAAAGAAAGACAGAAGGGAAAAGCGAAAGAGAGAAAAACAAACGAAAGAAAGAAAGAAAGAAAGAAAAAAGAAAGAAAAAAGAAAGAAAGAAAGAAAAATTAGATTTTAAGAGAAGAAAACGAATTTAAGAAAAAAGAATGGAAGAAAGAGAGAGAGGAAAAGAAAGAATGAAAAATAATTCCGCCCCCCCCGCCTTGAATTACAGTGTTATTATATCACGGATACAATGATGTCCATAATGTCGGGGGACGTAATGGGAGAATAAATCTTTCATTTATAGCCCTCTCTTGTTATATTGATAACGACAACGTGTTGTCTTCATTCCATTGAATGAGGATAACACAATCATGAATTATAATGTCACTTGGAGTCGACGTAGTCTTATTGAATTCAGTAGTAAGGATATAAGGCTCACTCCTGGCTGGCACACGCGTTCGTCTATATGCCATTTGGACAAGTCCAAGTCATATTCTGGAGGGGTACGTTCATCTCCGCACTACCATGTATATTATTTAACCCACATATAATATTATCACCCATTAATAGGAGAACTGCGTAGAGCCGTGATCACCAACGTCCTTAATGAACGCGACACATAAAAGAAGAAAACACAAGAAGAAAAAACAAGAAGAAAAAAGAAAAAAAGAAAAAGAAGAAGAAAAAGAAGAAGAAAAAAGAAGGAAAAAGGAGAAAAGAAGAAGAAAGAAGAAGAAAAAGAAGAAGAAAGAAAGAAAAAGAAAAACGAAGAAGAAAAAAGAAGAAAGAAGAAAAAAGAAAAAGAAGAAGAAAAAGAAGAAAAAAGAAGGAAAAAGGAGAAAAGAAGAAGAAAGAAGAAGAAAAAGAAGAAGAAAGAAAGAAAAAGAAAAAAGAAGAAGAAAAAAGAAGACAAAAGAAGAAAAAGGAGAAGAAAAAGAAGAAGAAAAAAGAAGAAAAAGAAGAAGAAGAAAAAGAAGAAAAAGAAGAAGAAAAAAGAAGAAGAAAAAGAAAAAGAAAGAAAGAAAGAAAAAGAAAAAAGAAGAAAAAGAAGAAAAATAAGAAAAAGTAGAAGAAAAAGAAGAAGAAAAAAGAAGACGAAAAAGAAGAAGAAAAAAGAAGAAAAAGAAGAAAAAAGAAGAAAAAAGAAGAAGAAAGAAAGAAAGAAAGAAAAAGAAAAAAGAAGAAGAAAAAAGAAAAAGAAGAAAAAAGAAGAAAAAGAAGAAAAAAAGAAGAAGAAAAAGAAAAAAAAGAAGAAGAAAAAAGAAGAAGGTATAACTCATTTATTGATCGAAGTATTGCCCTATATTTCGATGACCATGAGATTATTTTCAGTGGGTTCAAAACATGAAAATAGAAAAATACACTAGAAAAAATTACTAGTAATTCATTTTCATTGTTATAGAACATTCCCAGCAATACATATTTTGTCGGGGTGACCAAAGTTCACAAGAAAATTAAATTTCGTCATTAGATGAACCATAAAGACTTGATATGCCGTTAAAAAATCCAAAGAAACTAATTATTAATCACCTTATGAAATATACGGGTATATCTCGGGATACATCGTTTCGAGTTAAGTCGTTTCATTTTATTCGACTTTACGTCTGTCCGTCACAAATATAACACAAATTATTTGTGCCGTATTTTTTGTGCAGCTGTAACTAATTTTAACGTTATTTTTGTTGAATATTTTTGCTAATCGTTTTTTTTTTTTCAGGGAAGTGCTTTTCTATTAAGTTTAAAAATGTCCTACCTATGTTTGTTTTGACGGTTTTGTTGCATGGTGGGTAAAACCAGATAATGTCGTCATATTTTCGTCGTGTTGTCGTCTTATTTAACTGTCTTTAAGAGTTCAAATATTGGCGTTTTCCAGGGTAGTTCCAATATCTACCGTTTGGCGTCGTTGTCAGCGCCACTCGTGATTCCCGCGAAATTGAAATCCAGTTTAGTTCAATTTAAATCACCATAAGTCCGACAGAACGAAATATAAAAACCTTTGTGTTGTCGTCTTATTTATCAATGAAATCTCGCACACTTTCTTCTTAAAAAGCGGGGCAAACAACAACAACAACAACAACAACAACAGCCAGAATCAACTTTTGATGCTGACGATCCACAGCCATCTACATCCGAGATGTAAATAAACATATTAAAATGTAAATATTGGTAAATTTAACATAAATTAGTTTATTTTGTACGATATCGCAAAGTAATTTTAATAACTATATTTGTTATTTAACCTTATAAAATCATTTTATTTTATAATGTCTAAGAGCAAACCACATTCACAAATAAAAAGTCCGCGATGTGCTGTAAAGATCACCAAATTGTAAACATCTACATTTACAAATATGTATATACATGTATTCGGAAATATAGATTACTTTTTTCTGTACTATACTAAAAACTAAAATTTATTTGTTTGTAAGCTTAAAATAGATTCTTATTGACTATATATCATTCAAAATGCATTTATAAATAAAATACAAAACTGGGAATGGTTATTTATGGTTTCGCCTAGTGACATGTAAATTCGGAGAGAAGTAAATTTAACTTAAATAAATTCAACGTAAGTAAATTCAACGTATGTAAAGGTTCTGTAGTATGGTGCGTTAAACCAGATAATGTCGTCTTACTGTCGTTGTGTTGTCGTCTTATTTAACGGTCTTTAAGAGTTCAAATAGTGGCGTTTTCTAGGGTAGTTCCAATATCTACCGTTTGGCGTCGTTGTCAGCGCCACTCGTGATTCCCGCGAAATTGAAATCCAGTTTAGTTCAGTTTAAATCACCATAAATCCGACAGAACGAAATATAAAAACCTCTGTGTTGTCGCCTTATTTATTAATAAAAATCTCGCCCACTTTCTTTTTAAAAAGCGTATCAAACAACAACAACAGCCAGAATCAACTTTTGATGCTGACGATCCACAACTATCTTTATTGAATGTAAATATTGGTAAATTTCACATAAATTAGTTTATTTTGTACTATATCGCAAAGTAATTTTAATAACTGTATTTATTATTGATGTAATGAATATGCATACATCTGGGTTTCCCCCCTCACAGTAATATGATTGGCTGGTGTCAGCCATAAATACAGACTGATGTAGAGGTACAGGGATGATGCCTATTGCCTACGCCTATTGCCAACCAGTACGACGAGGACCAGTCCATTACGGTTTCCTGCTAGATTGTCCTACTCGGCTACAGTAGTCCAAAACCACTATGCTACTTCGAACAAATATATCACTTTCCGTGAGATATCAGTTATTTAACCTAACAAAATCATTTTATTTTATAATGTCTTAGAGCAAACGACATTCGCAAATAAAGAGTCCGCGATGTGCTGTAAAGATCACCAAATTGTAAGCATCTACATTTACAAATATGCATATACATGTATTCAGAAATTTAGATTACTTTTTTCTGTACTATACTAAAAACTAAAATTTATTTGTAACTTTAAAATAGATTCTTATTGACCATATATTATTAAAAATGCATTTATAAATAAAATACAGAACTGGGAATGGTTATTTGTGGTTTAGCCTAGCGACAAATAAATTCGACTTAAGTAAATTCGACTTAAGTCGTTTTTTTTTTCGACTTAAGTCGCCTCTCCTGGAATAAATTACCGACTTAAGGTGAGGTATACCTGTACTTCCAAAGAGTTGAAGCCCCTAACTAGACAAGTTGGCTTGTAGTGATTGAAGTAAGTGACCTTCAGAGTGTGACAGGTGCGAGAGAAGACGCCGTACGAGGAAGAATTCCCTAATGTCACTTCAGATTGTAGCATCATTTGCTTCCGTTTCTTGCGTGACATTCTCAGCGAAATGATCGATCGAATTCCTGGCCCAGATGAACCTCTTTCCTGTTGAGTCAGTTTTTTTTATTATTTTTCTCCAGTTTCGCATGTTGCTCGTATAGCATGTACTTTTTTTGCAAAAAGATTATTCTGTTCCCAATAGCATCCCCTGTAGAAAAGTAAGATACCCCATCCACAAAAGAAAAGACCCCCCAGAGAGATGCTTGCAGATTCCTGTATAAACCGAACTATCTTTTTCTTTAATCATACTTATTATAAAACCTAGGTTGTGTGTGTGTGTGTGTGTGTGTGTGTGTGTGTGTGTGTGTGTGTGTGTGTGTGTGTGTGTGTGTGTCTGTAAGTTTATATATTGGATCGGATTTCCTACATTTTTAAACCGATTTTAACAAAACTTCACAGGACTGCGTAAAATTACCTTGCGGTGGTTCTGACAGCGCCAAAAATAGGAAAAACTCAATTGTTTTTGCACGAAATCAATTTGAAAACACTATTAAGAGGCGAGGATGAAAGGGGGAAAACTCATATCGTGTTATACTTATTATATAACACAGGTTGTTTGTGCATGTGTGTGTTCGTTTATATATGGGATCGGATTTCCTACATTTTTCAACCGGTTTTAACCAAAATCTTTTTTGGCAGGTAGTATTTCTTATTGTCTTGCACACTTTTTTTCTTTATTTTTACATTCAGAATGCTTTAAAAATTCCATTTACAAGACAATTATTTATAATAAAATTCTATACAATCGGTAGACTCATAACGATTGAAATCAATGCCTTTGTTTGAGTTTGTGTTTGACCAATTCGTAAAAACAAAACAAAATAAAAACTAATTAAGACATGCGTGTCCGTCAACCTTAAACAATAATCTTTGTCAATTTTATTTTTCAGTCTTTATGATGGTCGATGCTTGATCTATCTCTTACTGTTACATCCCCGGGCAACGCCGAGTTCTACTGCTAGCCTAGTTTAAAATAGACTAATAGTTACATTTTTCCTGCAACTCAAACATATGCCTACCTTTTTTTAATCTTTTGTAAAACCGGTCCTGCGTCTATATTTATAAAGAGTATAAAACCGAACAAATGTGTACATCCTTAGGACACTCGTTTAAAACCGAACCTATAAGAAGCTTTTTAATTCTGGTGCAAAACCTGACCTGTGTATAGATTTTTGACTCTCTTTAAACCATACATATCTATCATTTTAAATATAGTGTCAACATGATGTATAGTAAAACTCATGTTGAGCTTAGATTAAAAAAAAAGGATGGTATAGATTCTATACCATCCTGTTTTATTCTAGTGTAAACACGGGGCCATATCTACCAGTTTGACTGTCCTTACCCCAAATATATCTATAATTTGGAATCAAGTATCAACATGATCTAGCCACCCTTTTTGACTCACGTTGAATAACGGATCTAGGTTTATCTATTTGTCGCTCGTGTAGAACCAGACCAAGGTCTCCCTGCTTCACACTCGCTAGGCAAACATATTTACAATTTTGAATCTAGTATCAACATGATCTATGGCATCCTTTTTGACTCAGGGGTAATACAAGGTCTAGGTTTATCTTTTTGTCTCTTGTGTAAAACCAGACCTAGGTCTCCCATTTTGAATCTAATGTCATTTTGAATCTAATGTCATCATGATCTATGCCATCCTATTTGTCACTCGTGTAAAAACAAATCTACGACTCGAGTGTAAAACCAAACCTATATTTACTTTTTTTGCCGATTGCATAAAACCAGACGTCAGCCTTTTTTAAAACCTTTTTTTGTAAAACCGGATCTATTTTAAACTTTTTGACTATCGCCTTCATATCTAATAACCCATTGCAATTCTAGTCTTATCAGATTTATATTGGAGATAAATAATGTTTTTAAATTAGCCAAACTAACCTAACTTTGAAATTCATCACTGCTGAGGTCTGCCACGTTTACACCCTATAAAACCGCCTTTTATAAATGTCGCAAGCCATTTCCGAAACATGCTTGCACGTAGTCTATAATTATAAACTTCAATGTACCATCCCCAGAATCTACCTTACAAATTTATAAGTCTACCATTCGTTCATGTATGGTCCTCCGTGACGAAGAGGTAACGAACTAGACTCGATATTGCGTCGCTCATTCACAAATTCCGCGGTGGAGCTCATGCAAGTGGGGCACAATCCTGTGGATAAAGGAACTTGGATGAGTTCCACCACGGAATATGTGAACGAGCGGCGCCATATCGAGTCTAGTTCGCTACCTCTTCGTCACCGAGGCCCGTTAGTACAGTTGGTATGACGTTTGCCTGTCAATGTAACTGTCCGGATTTCAATTCTCGGTAGTGGATGCGCACTGATAATGAGTACCAAATATAGGACGAAACGGCCGTCCAGTGCTTTCTGCATTCTGTTGAGGTTTCTTCTAGACTCGATGAATTACTTTATATATATATATATATATATATATATATATATATATATATATATATGATAATATATATATGAATATCATTTATATATAAATATATGGATATAAAAAAATATTTTTAGAGTATCGCCGTATTTAAGATAGACTCCCCATCTTTATTTTATACAATGTGTTTTACATCTACCGGCTTGTGCAGTCGATAATCTTAATAAAGATAAGATATCTATTTCAAGTATTGGTATCCGCTACAAATATCGATTGAAATATGTGGGGTGTTCACTCACAACATAGCAGCAGAAATTAGCCTTGTGTTCACCGATATAAAAGCAGAAAATAAAACATACAGAAATAACAGGAAAAATATGGTAAATTGTATGTTACTTTCATACAATGTATTTATATTTTCATTGTTTGTATTGGTGTGTGTATGTTTTTTGGTTACAATAGTATTATGGTACATGTGATAAAAGGGAAAATTTACCCCGTAGTATTGCAAGCCATATAATAGAGTGAAGTTGAACACGTGTTGCCCGTACCAAGGTTCCTGGCGAAGAGAAAGAATTTAACGACTTTTGGCGTATTTCCAGCAGTAACAGTTTTGGGGAGAATTTTTTTATTATTTTTAATTTTTATTTAATTTAAGACATTTTTGTTTATTTTTTATTCAATTTATTTTATACAACGTTTTTATGTTACTTTTTATTTTATTTTATTTTATTTTCATTATTATTATTGTTTTATATTTTATTCTCATTTCTTTATAATATTAACAATATCCCTACAAGTAATAAAAATTAATCGAACCGTCATATAGCCTGACGTGCCTTACCTATCGGCCACAAAGATTGAAATTTCTAAGCAGCAAATTCGACCTTGCCAACCGAGCGATCTTTTGTGGCCGAGAGGTAAGGCACGTCAGGCTATATGACGGTTCCGTATAGGATACAGGTTCGAATCCTGTCGAAGCACGAATATTTTCTATGAAAATTTCTCGGACATTCAGGCCGGAAAATGTTGTTTAATACTGTTTATTATAGACAGAGCATTTACTTAAATACTTGTATCAATAAAAAAGAATGTTAAGCATAAAGATGTCTTTATATATATATATGTGTTTATGTGTATGTATGGTGTGCGGCAAAAATACCACCCACATAATGGTAAAACAATCAGCAAAAAGTAAACATCTTTACCACTAATGTCTTACGTTCATGTGGAAGGTATTTCTGGAAGATATATGTAGGAGGCCTTTTGACATACCCTGTAATATATATAATATATATATATATATATATATATATATATATCAGTTAAGCCTGATGAATATTCATGAGCGTTTCTTTAATCATTCTGAAAAAAAATAACATTATTTATTTTATTTTTTTAAATGCATGTAGAATGATAAAATCCTTACAAACGCGCCAGATAAAGATAAGTACGTCTTATATATTTATTTATTATATATATATATATATATATATATATATATATATATATATATATATATATTGATAGTATTGGGCTGCTGGATCATGTATTTAAATTTATATATATATATATATATATATATATATATATATATATATATATATATATATATTTAAATTAACACAATTTAAATATATATATATGTAATAAAACTACTTACAATTTCTGGAGTAATCTGACAAAACTACACTAAATGTAAACATGTTTAAAATTTTCTTACACAAATTGAAAGAACTGTTCTTGGAAATAGAATATTATAAAGCATTTTTTTTAAATATTTTATTTGTAGAATTGTGTATTTTCCATTCTTTTTTAACGACTATTTATACTTAAAATTTCATGAAATATTTCCTGAACCTCTGTGTAATTCTGTACAACATGACGTTGTTACTTATGCCTGTGTACAAGTAGTGGCAGGTGCATACGCACACACGTACTGATAGCGAGAAAATGCCATTTGTATATTAAACCGCCTGTGACACCTGCGTTCTTGTAAATGGCGTATGTAGCCTAAGTAGTGTCTGTTGTTGTGTTGTAAGCTTCAGCCAGGAACGTTGTCTGTTTGTCGAGAGAAGTTGCATTTCGCGTTGGAATGTTTCATTGAGAAATCAAAATCTCATGAAGACGGTAGCAGAAAATGAGACAGAAAAAGATGGCGCGGAACAGTGTAAACGAAGAAAACAAGATTCGTTGATTGGTCTGATTTTTTACCGTTTATCAACCTTTTGCAGGGTATTTAAAGCCAGACAATATTTTAGAGTGTAAGAAAGTTTGGTAAAGGGCCTATTAATTAAGCCATGGAGGTGAATTCTTAACTTTCCCAGGGGTATTTGCACGTAAGTGAATATAACGATACCAATTGGTCTTGGGTAAGACGATAAACTACATCCGCGTCCTGGGTAAGACGATAAACTACATCCGTGTCCAGGGTAAGACGATAAACTCCTTCCGCGTCCTGGGTAAGACGATAAACTCCTTCCGCCTACTGGGTAAGACGATAAACTACATCCGCGTCCTGGGTAAGACGATAAACTACATCCGTGTCCAGGGTAAGACGATAAACTCCTTCCGCGTCCTGAGTAAGACGATAAACTCCTTCTGCCTACTGGGTAAGACGATAAACTACATCCGCGTCCTGGGTAAGACGATAAACTACATCCACGTCCTGGGTAAGACGATAAACTACATCCGCGTCCTGGGTAAGACGATAAACTACATCCGCCTACTGGGTAAGACGATAAACTACATCCGCGTCCTGGGTAAGAAAATAAACTACATCCGCGTCCTGGGTAAGACGATAAACTACATCCGCGTCCTGGGTAAGACGATAAACTACATCTGAAAACAAGGCCTCTGATCAGGAGTTTTTGAGCAGAGTGGAACCACCTATTAATTGCTGGTGTTCCCAGGTCCAACCTGACACGTAGTAGTAGCTCCTGTTAGGGTCCCAACAATGGGCAAATAGTTAATCCTTAAACCTGTCCGTGTCCCGGGTAAGACGATAAACGACGTCAAACTCTAATAAAAAGTTTTTATGGAACGTGGAGCCACCTCTTAACTGATGGTGTTCCCAGGTGTACACTTGACTCGGGGTGGTAGTACCAGTTAGGGTCCTAACTAGGGTCAAATACTTAACGCCAAAATTGGTGTCAAAAACTATGAAAGTGTAAAAATAGATTTTAATACCAACAATACTTTTTTGAAGAAAAAAGTATTAGCAGCAATACATTTTTGGAAAAATATTAACAGAAATAAAAATATTGTCATCACTGAATAACCTATTGTTGACATGCCGTAAAACAAAACAAATATATACACAGATAGATAAATATAAATAAACTGAGATAGATAGATAGATAGATAGATAGATGTGAAGAAAGAATAAGATAGATAGATAGATAGATAGATAGATAGATAGATAGATAGATAGATAGATATGAAAAAAGAATAATTTCCTTCGTATTCCATTGGTAAAGAGGAAGTTTCACTCACATAGTTTCTTTCCTAAAATATTGAAACAGACTCCCAAGAGGATTCTTCCCTGATCACTAGAATCTTAACCTCTTCAAGTCTATGGTCAACTTATATAAACCCTTCTACCTTTAGTGGCTCTTGATGCTGCTATTGGATGAATTTAAGTAACAAAAAAGTCATGTTCAAACTAGGGTTTAGACATTATCTATTTGACAATCAATATTTGTACTATAATCTTCTTGCACTCTTAAAAATTACAAAAGATAAAATTTACAATGACCTACAAAGGACAGGAAATTGGGGAGAACCATGATCGCTAACGTCCTGACGGGAAGATGGATCCTATTCTTTTTCATTACTAAAGCCTGATGCTCCCCCTCCACGTTTTGTTGTTTAATGAGTCCCAAAATATTCTAGGCTTTCGATATTTCTGAGAGGAGTTATCGTAACTATTTTACATTGTTTAGACAATTGTCCTCGTGTTTATTGTCACATTCAGGACGTTTCGGCCGTTGTACGCTGCGACCTTCTGGACTTTCGAACCAAAAATATTTATTTACTCCACGGGGGTAAATTGTTCTAGTTCCACATGCCAGGCCTTTTGTGGATATCTGTGTTTCAGTTAATTCCCTTTGGTAACTTCTAGGAGTTTCACGTAACTTTTTCTCTACCTCTGCGCCTCCGAGCAGAGAGGAAATTCAGACGAGGCTATGCCTAAGGACAGAGTCTCATCTGGGAAGGTAGACAGCCACCCCACACCTTGTATGCGAGGCTTACGGAAAATGTTTACCTGCGCGGACGGGCTCGGAATGCCCCACGTTAAAAACTGGACTTTTGCCACATTTCTCCTTAAGGGTAGGCTTCGGGTAAATACCGTAATAAACCAATTCAGCCAAGATTATGTTCACTTCTACTGTCGCCAGGTATTGAACTCACAGTCACCAAGGACACATAGACGATGGTCAACCCTATCAGTGAATAGATAGATAGATAGATAGATAGATAGATAGATAGGAACAGAGAACGAGATAGATACTTAGATATGAAGAGAATGAGATAGATAAATAGATATGAAGAGTGACTGAGATAAACAGACAGACAGACTGACAGATAGATCGATCGATCGATAGATATGAAAGAGACTGAGATAGATAGATAGATAGATAGATAGACAGTTTCTTTCTTTCTTTCTTCCTTGTTTTTCTTTCTTTCTTTCTTTCTTCCTTGTTTTTCTTTCTTTCTTTCTTCCCGATTTTTCTTTCTTTCTTTTTTATTCTTTCTTTTTTTCCTTTCTTTCTTCTCTTTTTTCTTTCTTTCTTTCCTTGTTTTTCTTTTTTTACGCTTTCTTTCTTTCTTCCCTGTTTTTCTTTCATTCTTTTTTCTTTCTTTCTTTCTTCCTTTTTTTCTTTTCATTCTTTTTTTTTCTTTCTTTCTTCCTTGTTTTCTTTCTTTCTTTCGCTTTTTCTTTTTTCTTTCTTCCTTGTATTTCTTTCTTTCTTTCTTTTTTCTTTCTTTTTTTTTTCTTTCTTTCCTTGTTTTTCTTTTTTTACGCTTTCTTTCTTTCTTCCCTGTTTTTCTTTCATTCTTTTTTCTTTCTTTCTTTCTTTCTTTCTTCCCTGTTTTTCTTTCATTCTTTTTTCTTTCTTTCTTTCTTCCCTGTTTTTCTTTCATTCTTTTTTTCTTTCTTTCTTCCTTGTTTTTCTTTCTTTCTTTGCTTTCTTTCTTTTTTTTCTTCCTTGTTTTTCTTTCTTTCTTTCTTTTTTCTTTCTTTCCTTTCTTTCTTCCTTGTTTTTCTTTCTTTCTTTCTTTCTTTCTTTCTTTCTTTCTTTCTTCGCTTTCTTTCTTTCTTGTTTTTCTTTTTCTTTCTTTCTTTATTTCTTTCGTTCTTTCTTTCTTTCTTTCTTTCTTTCTTTCTTTCTTTCTTTCTTTCTTTCTTTCTTTCAGACTATCCTTTTATCCTTTTTCTTTCAAACTTTACTGTACCCACTCCAAAAAAAAAAAAACAGTTTCGCATTGTATTTACATTAGTCGGACTATTGTCCTCATCTTTGTCGCCACCTGAAGAAGGCCGGAGCGTACAACGGCCGAAACGTTGTGACAAATATGGCGACAAAGATGAGGACAATAGTCCGACTAATGTAAATACTGTACATAATACCTCATCTCAGAAATATAGACAGTTTCGCATGATGAAAAACGCCCGAAACCTGAAAAAAAACAACAAAGTTTTATCATCAAAATGTTTATATTATTATTATGAGATAAAGGCCAAAGTATTTTTTGATAATTTTATATTTTTTTAAAATCCTTTTTTAGCACATTTGAAATATTCGTTAAATTTTTTTTTTTACGTAAACGGTGGCAGCAAAGATAAGTTTAAGAAATTTTAGCTTCTTTTTCTGGTTAAAAAAAATCATTGATTTGGGAATTACTACAAAAATCCAATAATTGGCAGATTTTAATGAAACTTTTATGACCTATTCACAAATAAATAAAATTATTTTAAAAACTTCTTCCTTTAGAAAATCAACATAGAAATATTATTTTACATCTGTTACACCTCAAACTTTAATTAATTAAATTTCCAGAAATTAAATTTTCTCCGGCTTCATATTTATATTAGTTTAAAGCAGGTTTATATAAATCATCCATTTTTTTCTCAAACAATTACGCATTTACCAAAAATCTCCTCCGAAAATTAAAATAAATAATGCAATCAAATTTAAAACATTATTTAATTAGAAAAAAGTTTTCAATTGCTTTCACAAATCTTACTTATTATAAAACGCAGATTGTGTGTGTGTGTGTGTGTTTCTACGTTTATATATTGGATCAGATTTCCTACATTTTTCAACCGATTTCAACAAAACTTCCCAAGACTACATATAATTACCTTGCGGTGGTTCTGACAGTGCCAAAAATTGGAAAAACACAATTGTTTTTGCACGAAATCAATTTGAAAATATGATAAAACACGATTCTGTTGCCAGAAGGAAAGGGGGACAACTCATATCGAGTTATACTTATTATAAAACCCAGGTTGGTTGTGTGTGTGTGTGTTCGTTTATATATGGGATCGGATTTCCTACATTTTTCAACCGATTTCAACAAAACTTCACTTTTTTTTTTTTGGTAGTGTTTTTTTTATTGTCTTCTGCACTTTTTCTTTATTTTTACATTCAGAATGCTTTAAAAATTCCATTTACAAGACAATTGTTTATAATAAAATTCTATTCAATCGATAGACTCATAACGATTGAAAACAATGTTTTTGTTTGAGTTTGACCAATTTGTAAAAAAAAAAAAACAAAAAAAAAGACATGCGTGTCCGTCAACCTTAAACAATAATCTTTGTCAATTTTATTTTTCTGTCTTTATGATGGTCGATACTTGATCTATCTCTTACTGTTACATCCGTGGGCAACGCCGGGCTCTACTGCTAGTAATCTATATGAAGGACACTGTTGTCTTAAGAAAAAAAAATTAATGAATAATGAATTTTTACAAGATTTGTTTTCATTTGTTTATATCATAATTAGAATGGCATTAAGTATTAAATATTTTTATTCTTTTTAAAATTACATATTAATTTGTCTCTCATAGATGTTATCATTATTAAATTGCTTTTATAAATGTTCTCATGTGCCACATATTTTAGATAGCCTCTTCAAGATCCTTGATAGATTTTGAAGATCTTCAAAGATAGATTAAAATCTGCAAAGAATTGCATGTCCATTATTATTATTATTATTATTATTATTTTAATTATTTTGATTTCTGGTGTCTTTCTTTCCGGGTCCCACCCAGAGACCTAAGGTCAGAAACGGCATCATGGCATTTTTCACTGACCAATTTTGAAAAAAAAAACAAAAACTCACACCTATTTTACGTAGATAAAGCCCTTCGTAAGGTGTGGTCTTTACCCGTGAGAACAATTTAATATTATTATTATTGTTACTTCCCTTGATTTCTGTTGCATACACATTTCCTTCCGAGTTCAAACACGGACCTAAGTTCAGAAATGGCTTTATGCGACGTCACTCTCATATGTTTAACGTCTGCTTCTGTGAAATGGAAAAAGTCGTCAATTTCATATCTTTGCATTTGTACTCCACCTCCTTTAAATAACGGCCAGCATCCATATTTACGGTGATTTTCTAAGCGTAGCTTAGATGCCGCACAAGGACGAATGTGTGGGGCACCTGGTGAGGATCGAACTGACTACACAGTCCTAATTGTTCTAGCGAAATAAGCTTGCTAACCATTACACCACGTCGAAAGCTACTAGGAATTTTATAAGGTTAGATGTGGTACAAGACCGAAAGTATAGTGTACCTAGTGAAGATCGAACTCACTACTCAGTCGTAATTAATCTAACGAGACAAGCCTGTTAACCATTACACCACGGTGAAGTGCCTAGTATTCATATTAATCATTCTTATCGCAATATTTTATAAAGCTCAAATATTTAACGATGCGATAGGGGAATTTCTACGGATATTTTATTTTAGAACTCGTCATGAGCTTATTCAATCATTAACTTAATTTTGATTCATCAAAAATTTTAAATATGACAATCTGTGAAATTTGCACGGGTCATTCTAGTTATTATTATTATTATTATTATTATTATTTTCTTTGATTTCTGGCGTTTACATTTCTTTCCGGGTCCGCCTTAAGGACCTAGGTTAGAAATGGCGTCATGACACTTTCCACTGACAAAAAAAAAAAAAAAAAAAAATTAAATTACATAGATAAAGCCCTTCGTAAGGTGTGGGCTGTACTTGTCAGAACAATTTTTGTATCTCCTTGAGGCATGGACTTTCAGGAATCCCTTCAATTAGTCTACTGCAATCTTTTCCAACCAGTCCTAGGGCTCCAACTACTGGTAAAGGGATTGTTGATGTTTCCATATGCCACATTTTTGAGATTTCTATTTCAAGATCCTTGTACTTTGACAACTTTTGAATATCTTCAAAGATACATTGCAGTCA